CTCCTCCTCCTCCTCCTCCTCCTCCTCCTCATCATCATCAGCATCATCAGCATCATCAACAGAAACTTATTGAACAGAGACAGCGACAACAGCGTCACCCTCATTCACAAATGACGACGACTATGAAGACAACAGCAGCAACAACAACAACAACAACAACAATAACAACTACAACATCACGCTTAGAAATATTCGTAACAATCGACGGATCAAATCGTGTACAGCATTCACAATAAGACCACTTAAGGAACTTGCTTCAATTAAAATTCATTCAACAAACCAGGAGAATATCTACCGAGGAAGGATTATGAAGACTGGACGGTAGACTGTTTCAGAGCGAGCTTGAGAAATCAACATCAACAACAATAACAACAACGACAACAACAACAGCAACAACAACAACAACAACAACAACAAAAACAACAACTACAACAACGACAACAACAATAACAACGACCAAATTAAACAGGTAAGTGGTACAATATACATAGAGCAGTATCAGGACATGACTTCATAAATAATATGAAAATAACTTCTTTAACAACTCGTAATGGATATTTACAAAAAATCCCCAAAAAGATAGTAATCAGTACAAGGGTTAAAATGAAGGCACAATTTCACAATTTCAACAACAATAACAACAACAACAATTGAGAATACAACAACAACAACAACAACAACAACAACAAAAACAACAACAACAACAACAACAACAACAACAACGGCAACAACAATAATAACAACGACAAATTAAACAGGTAAGTGGTACAATATACATAGAGCAGTATCAGGACATGACTTCATAAATAATAGGAAAATAACTTCTTTTAACAACTCGTAATGGATATTTACAAAAAACAACAACAAACAAACAAACAAACAAACAAACAAACAAACAAACAAACAAACAAACAAAAAATCCCCAAAAAGATAGCAATCAGTACAAGGGTTAAAATGAAGGCACAATTTCAGCAACGTCATTGATAATCTGTTACGTATACAGCAATGAAATATTATTGTGAATATTATTTAATTCTGCAAATATTGGGAATATGTACAGGTAATAATAGCAAAATGTTGTTTTGAAGAACATCAGCTTTGGGGAACTGAGCGTTTCTGAGCTCAGATTAGACTCTGAACCGCTGCTGGATATACAAGTTGTGAGACGTAGGACAACAAATGAATTGAGCTGAAATATAAGACAACGAGTCGGATAATTTTCACTTAAGGCACAAAATGTAAGAATTTCTGTGTTATTATGGTGAGCCAGAGAAAACGCTGTCGCATGGCTTAGTGGTTAGGCTCTCGGACTCGCAACCGTAAGGATGTGGGTTCGAATCCCGTCAGAGGCCCGACGTTGTGTCCTTGGGAAAGGCACTTTGCACAAATTCGCACATTCCTCACTTCACCCAGGTGGAAATGGGTACCCGGCTATAGACAGTGAAAGATCTTGTCAGTTTGATAGTATTTGAGCGCGTGAAATCCGCAGCTTGCACTGTATGCTTCCGCAGAAGCTGAGAATGTTTCTGAGTGTTCTCAGAGGATCTGCTGGGGTAATAATAGTTGTAAAGCACAAGTTCTTAAACGTGATGGGCTGATAATAAAGATTTGTTTAGCTATTAGCACATACTTTATTTGATCCAGACAACACTTTCGCTGGTACAAACAGATTCAATTATTGTTATAGGCTTATCTGTAGTTAGACTGACAAGCCATGCTGACGTCTAGGCCTAGGTGCCTATATTGTATGGTTGTTAGGATAAGTTCTAAATCTAGACAGATCTCATTAAGGACAACTCGGAATAATACATATCAATAAGAAGAAATAGACGGTGCGTACTGCAGTTGTTGTTACCGTTCACCCAGAACCAACCGAAGACGGTCCTATCGGAGACGGACGTTAAACTAGGAGGTCCCGCCCCTAAAATAACCTAATAGTGTTGATAGGGGCGTTAAACCTATACCATTTCATTTCACCAATCGAAGGGTGGGTATCGAAGAAAAGAATAAAAACAACTAAAGAGGAATATTTATACATATTGCCAGTCCCTCTGTAGTTTAGTACACTTTGGACAAATGTTTTGAGACGCAGAAATGTCTGACATGGGCCAAGTGTACCAGGCTGCTTTTTGGATCGACATATTCTTATTGTGCCTCTAAAGAACATGACTTTTGTACGTTTATGGCCGTTCTTCTACAGTACATCTTCTAGGCCTTGAATCATTCAGATCTCACCTAGATTGGATCAAAACAATTTACACATCTGAAGTTAACAAAAAACCTTTCCAACTGAACAGTGAACCAAAACAAATGTGAGGCATCGTGGTGGAATCAGGCTCTCGTCAAAATAATCAAAGTGAAGAAACTTGCATTTTTCCGCAGGTTTGTGAATTTTAATCCAATTTTTGTTTTTTGGCTCAACATCTTTCATGCCCATTAAAGAACACATTTCTGTCTGGATTTTTCTGAAAAGCGTTGATTAAAGGCACAAAAAATGTAAATTTTCGGTTACCACGGACTCTTAAGCTAAGGAAATAACTAATCTTTGGCGGCCATTTTCTCATTAATTTTACCTCTGAAAATAGGTGACCTCCACCTCCTTCATTCGCAAATATCTCGACTTGTATTCTAGATAAATGGATATTTTTTCATCCCAATAAAGACAAGTGAACAAGCTTTAAGATGATACCAATAACTCTACATGCCCAAAAACTGACGAGAGCCTGATTCCACCACGCTGCCTCACAAATGCACCCTCCAACGAACAACAAGAAAGCATCACAAGAACCATGCTGCTGTCCCCCAGACACATCCTCACTGTATAAGTATAACACAAACTAAACACAAAGCAGCACGTCAGTTATTAAGACCAACCTAAAATTATCACGCAACGAAGGGTATTTTATAAAGCGAGAAAGGAGGCGAAAGACAAAAATTATGTCAAATTATGTGCTCAAGTTAAAACAAAATGTGAAGCATACTGACAAAATGAGTTACTTCTCGGATTCGAGCCCAATAAAAATAGATACATCACGCTTATAGATGAAGTTTTTACAATTTATAAGTATGAAATAATGAAAGGCATGTTATAGTCAAAGTATATGGCATCAATAGAAAATCTTCAAATTTGACCGTAGTGTCGATTTTTGGCAAATATCTCCTTTTATGGATTGTGAGAAGTAACTCATTTGGTCAGCACGCCTCATAAATACTTTAGTTGGCATCATTGTATTCACAATGGACGTGGTTTTCAAGGGCACAAATAAAGGCTGTATCAACTGTATGTCAAAATTGTTTAAAGTAAAATCAATCTCACATATCATGGTCACAAGTCAAACAAGAATATCATCCCCCACCCCCCTCCCCTCTGGGCTCCTGATTCTTTCTACCGCCTTTCAACTGTTACGAGCATACGGCATGTGCAGTATTTTTGAATAAATGTGTAACTCCGTCTTTTTACCTTTGATCTAATAATTTACACGAAAACACGTTCTCAATGAGTGAGTAAAGCACGAAGCAGCTAGACATTATTACATAGTTTCGTTTCATTTTTTGTGTCTGTTATAACTGGTACAGGTTTGACCTCTTGTCACCTGGTTGCACGTACAACATTAATTGTTTTCTTCCCCATCTCAATAGCACGTTATGTACATACGTAATATTATATACAGAGATCCCCCTCCCCTTCCCACACACACAAACACACGTGTTCGCGCATACACGCACATATATACACGCACGCACGCATACACACACACACACACACACACACACACACTGACATATAGTATATATATATATATATATA